TATCCTCGCGTAACAAGTTCCATACGTAGTCGCCCAGAGTATAGAGCTGGGAGAAAAAATTTTTAAAGCATTGTGATAAAAGCCTAACGGTATATTTGCTTAATATATTTTAATTAATAGATATTGAACTTGCATTAACGCTTATAACGGTGAAAAAATATTTTCCCAATATGTGATTATAAGGCTGTGAAATATGCAAAAACACGCGTTTTTGGGACATTTGAGTGTGCGTAGAAGCTGATTGGCTATTGATATTAACAAATCCACAAACTTGTATTCTTATTTTGATTAGTAGAAGTGAAAAATAAGAAAAAATCAACTTAAACATTTTTTTGTCCCACAGTGTTATATGTATCCACATACATTTGTAATCAATGTTATGGTTACCTCGGTTCCATAATTTAAATAATAATATATATATATATATATGTAACATATATGTTATATTATATTTATATTTGAAGAACTTTAACATCAGAAGAGTATACATAAGTCGAGCGCCCCTCAGCCGTATTTTCCATCGAAAACTAATTTTTTGTTTCTAACGGAGAATGACAACAGTGCAATTAGAAAAACGAAAGAATAGAAGACAAATTTGGAGTCGGGCCGCCGTCGGGTGCAACCAACGAAATCGTATTATAAGAGTGAGGAAGAGAGGGAAACTTAGGAATAACCCTTTCCCTTTCCTACACACATGATTGGCAATTGCCAAAATTCACTTGTGAACAGCCAGAACTGCAGGGTATGTATTGTGGCAATATCTGACTGGGCATCCTCTTCTAGCGCGTGGATGTGCTGTCGGGACAGTGCGTCAGCGACGTAATTCTCTTTTCCTGGCTTATAAAAAACTTGGGCGTTGTGCTCGTCAATGAAAGCTTTCCAGCGCTTAATTTTTGCGTTTGGATTGCGATCTGAGACGGCGAAAGTAAGTGGCTGGATGGTCAGTAAAAATGTTTAAATTTTTCACGCCGTATAAGTAATTTCTGAGTCTTTTTAAGGCCCATACTATTGCTAATAACTCCCTTTCGTTAGTTACAAAATTTAGTTCCCTGTCCTTTAAAGTTCGTGATATCATGGTTATGGGTTTTCCGTCCTGTGACAAGACTGCTCCCAAACTAAAAGACGAAGCATCTGTCGTCAAGTCGAACGCTTTTTTGTAGTTTGGATATAATAGCATTCGTTTTCAGACGCGAGAACACTCTTAAGTTTTTCAAATGCCTGGCGTTGATTTTCGTCGAAGTTAACAGGTATTTTCTTTGATTGTCCTGCACTTACTTTGCCATTTTCTCCTTTTAGGATGTCACTTATAGGTTTTGCAATAGATGCAAAGTCTTTAATGAAACACCTATAGTAACTAGCTAGTCCGAGAAATGATCTGACATTGTTCGTAGTCACAGATTGCATCTACTTTGTTAGGGCATGTTCTTATGCCTCCACTTAAAACCACGAAACCTAAATAGTCCACATTTTCTTTAAAAAAATTAGATTTCTCGCGCGAAACTCTCATGTTGGCCTTATATAATTTGTCTAAGACCCATGCTATGTGTTTCACATGCTCGTGCATATTTTCCGAAAAAATAATTACGTCGTCGACGTAGACATAGCATGATTTCCCTATTTGTTCCCTGAGCACATCGTCGATGGCTCTCTGAAAAATGCTGGGTGCATTTTTCAATCCAAAGGGTAGTCTACAGAACTCATATTTCCCATTTCCTACTGAGAAGGCAGTTTTTTCTCTGTCGTTTTCGGCGAGTAGTATCTGGTGAAAACCAGACTTTAAATCTAATGTTGTAAAGTATTTTGCCTTTCCTAAATTCGCCAAGATAAAAACTACGTTCGGGATAGGGTATTTGTCATCTATTGTCTTCAAATTAAGCTTTCTGAAGTCTATTACTAGGCGTTTTTTTGTGTTTCCCTGTTCATCGGTCCCTTTTTTATCTACAACCCAAACGGGGTTGTTATATGGAGACCGAGATGGTCGGATTATGCCGACTCGTAACATTGCTTGTGTTTCTGTGTTTACAAAGTCGGACACGCCCATCGGGTATGGATACAGTTTTGAACATATCGGATCTTCATTCTCTGTCCGGATAGTACCAACAATGTTAGTATTGTACGGCAGCGCTTCGTTTGGCTCTGCAAATACACCCGTACGGTTTCCTAACATTTCATGGAATTTTTCCATTATTTCCTGTGGTACCACTATATCCTCAACTTTTGTAAAATTTACATTTGCACACTTCAAAAATTTAATTTCCTCCGAACTGCTGTTAGTTATTAACTTTTTTTCTTTTAGGTCAAGTAAGACGTCAGTTTCTTTTAGTAGGTCCAGTCCAATAATTCCATCAAACGTTGTTAAGTTTGGTAGCAAGAAAAATGTTGAATTTGTATTAAAAATGTGCATTATACATTTTTTATTTATTGTGTTATGGCCATGGATTGATTTTACAGGAAATGGTTTATTTACGAAAACAACGTTTTTTAATTCTTTAATAGGTTTGATGTAATTTTTGGAAGCCCCTGTGTCAATTAAAAGTTTTATTTTTCTCCCTGTGATATCCCTTTCTATGAATGGGAGCAGGGAGTTATGCCTAAAAAATTTATTTCATCGTATTCTACTAGGTCATCGATGTTCTCACATTCCGCTTCGGCTACTGCCGGGTATTCATTATTGGTTTCATTTGGTGGGTCGTTTTCTAAAGCCAGATAATTTACCCTCTGGTGTTTTGGTCCTGTATATCTAGCGCTACTACTAGTTGGCCTCTTAATCGTCTGTCCCTGATTATTGCTACCTTTGGGTTGACTATTTTGGTAAGTGCTTTGAATTTATCTTGAAAACGGTCCGCTTTGTTGGTTTTGAGTTGGTTGTCTAAAACGGGATAATGAAGGATCGACGTCCATTGGTTGGGTCAGTTCCTGTCTGGGTGGCTGCCTTGGTGGTATTTTATTAAAATGCGGATTTTTACCATTTGGGTTAAACTTAGCGTCTATCGATGCACTTCTTTGTTCACCCCTTTGGTGTTTTTCCTCCGTGCTACGTGCGAAATTACTTGCGAAGATGTATCGCTCATGATTAGCGTCTACTTCTTGCGCTAATGCTAAAGCGGAAGGAAGATCGGTTGGTCTTGCCGAAAAAGAACGTCGCTAAGCGATTTTCTTGTGCCCGAAATAAATACTCGTAGCGCATCTGCTCTGTATTTTTCGTTCATTGAGGCAGCTACGGTGTTGTCGTAGGTCATAATTGTCTTGTTTATAAGCAGAGTCAGTTTTTTCTCCACTTCGTCGTAGTACTGCAGAAGTGTCATGTTTCCTTGACGGAGTGTTGACATCTCCTGTTCTAATAAATATATCAGTCGTTTGTCCGCGTATGTAAAGTCAAGCCTGTTAATAATAGCTTTAAAATTTAAAGGCGTGTCGAACGACGAAAGAACCATATCGGCCGAGCCTTTTATTTTGTTTCGGAGAATGCCTAAAGCTTGGTAGTGTTTGGAACTACCATCATATTTCTCAAATACTTTATAGGCGGTATGCGCCGCTTTCCTCCAAGAGACGTAGGTCTCATTCTTTCCCTCGAAGTCCGGCAGGGTCTTCATGATATCTAACGTTTCGCAGCATGCGATACCTATTATGATTTCGGCATCTCTATACGTTTCTACTTCTGGTGTGCCGATATTTGCACCACCTAAACGCTTCTGAACTTCTTGTAATTTTTGCTCAAAGCTTTTTTCCTGCGCGTTCACTGGTCACTTTTCACTTTTGTTCACTGGTCAGTGCCATGTTTGAACTATTTTGTTGTGAACTCTCCGCGGTGTTTAGCTTTTGAAATCTGTCTAACAAATCTTCTATCTCACTAACACTCATAAGATTTTAACACAAAGAACAAAGAATTTTGTTCCTTTTGTATTTAATTGTTTCTAAAATAAAAAATTTCCGAACTTGTGCCTTTATTTTTTTTTTTAACTGAGACTCTTGGAAAATCACTTTTTAAAAAAAAAAAAAAAAAAATTACTTTTTTTTTGCAATTTGAAAATAGTGGGCGTATCGATGAACACTCTACTCACATGGTTTTTATTTAATTGTAGAACTAAATGTTGTTGCCGCTGTCGGGTGTCTTCCTTCTTTTAATTCAGTTGCGCTGGTTTCGTACCTGGTTTTTTGTTTTTGGTTTTGTTGTTGTTGACTGGTTTTGTTGCGTAAACCCAACAAGTAGTTTTTTTTTTTTTACGGATCGAACGCGTTTTATATATTTTTTTATTTAATGTTTTTATTTAAACGTCGAATCGAGGGTCTTACGATCGCGTTTTTTTGTACAAAGGTCGAGGGTCTTACGACGCGTTGTTGTTATTTTATTGAACACGAGTCGAGGGTCTTACGACGCGTTGGGTGCCAATTAACTATATGTCCATTTTAGGATTTATTTAAGACGCGATTTTAATTTGCGAATGAGAAGACTTTGTAATTGCGAGGTTTTACCGTCACCGTTTATTTCCAAAATTCAACTAAACTTTAAGTACAATAATTCTTATAATGAAAGCTAGCCCTATGTCGTAAAAGTGCTGACCCGGCTGCCCATGCATGGTGTTGGGTAGCCGCCGTTGCATCGGAGTGCATTGCCCGCTGATTGCGCCGACCGAAGCCTGGGATTTTGGCAACGTCGTTGTGCAACGTCCGCAGGTGTCGCTAGCCTTGCATTATTTTATTCTGTTAAGCATTATCAGCCTGGGAACTTCCGTTTGGCTGGGAGACCGTGTTAACTTGTACATTGTTTTCGCTATAAGCCAGTCTTGGCAACCCAAATAATGGGAAATTTACCTGCTGATCGTCTTCACGGCAATAGACCGTTCGAAGTCAGTGGAGTGGACTTTTGTGGTCCAATTTTTGTAACCTTAGGAATTAGAGGGAAGTCAGCGGTAAAGATGTATATTGCCATATTTGTTTGTTTTGCCTTTAAAGCTGTTCACATCGAACTTGTTTCAGACCTCACATCTAAATCGTTTATCATGTGTTTGTCTAGGTTTGTTGGCCGGCGTGGACGTGTCCAGAAAATTTTCTGCGACAATGCCACCAATTTTGTCGGTGCTTCCCGAATGCTGCAGGAATTCAGGGACCATTTCATTGCCAACCAGGATGCCATAACGGAGTTCGCAGCCACGCGCGTGATCACCTTCTCGTTCATCCCGCCCCGAGCGCCCCATTTTGGCGGCCTATGGGAGGCGGCAGTGAAATCAGCGAAGGGATTAATGGTCAAGGCCGTAGGCATCGCAGTGCTCCGACAGGACGAATTGAACACCGTCTTGGTAGAAGACGAAGCCATACTCAATTCGTGAACAGCTCCAACCCAAACGACGAGGAGGAGTAACCCCAGCTCATCTGCTGGTCGGAACAACGCATTCGTGTCAAGTCAGCCAGAAACAGACGACAAACTGAGCTACTTGAAGAGATGGCGACTGATATCCGCCGTCAAGCAACGGTTTTGGGTAGACTGGCAAAACGACTACGTCCTGAGCCTGCAGCAACGACAGAAGTGGCTAAGCGAGAGCCACAACATACAAGTCGGAACAATCGTCGTGGTCCACGAGGACAACAGTCCGCCTCAGCAGTGGCTAATAGGAGTCATCGAGGAGGTTATCAAAGGCGAGGATGGAAAGGTTCGAGTGGCGGTCGTCAGAACTAAATCTGGCGTTTTTAAGCGATCTATACGTCGATTAGCTCCGTTGCCTGTGGATGAACATTGAAGCCTTGCAGCCCTTCAACGCGGCCGATGTTGAATCATTTCATTTTATAATTTGAAGTTCTACAAATTAGATATATAGGTATATGTAATTATAGTTAACTTAAACACTCTTATATTAAGCTCGAATTGAATTACCTGAATTGAAGTACTACTCTTAAGCTAACATTACGCTCTTTAATAGTCGCTCTCACTTGAATCTCTCTTGCATATCAAAATTTATCTTTGTTATCTATGAAATTTGCATGCTTACATATACACGCGCAATTATGCCAGCGCTTAGCTTAAGAACAAATATTGGAAATTATAACGATCACTTGAGAAGAAGAACTGAAACTGAGCACACGCAAACTTATTACATTGTCTGTCCCGTCCGCTTACGCAAATTGGCCGTCAATAATTTATTGACTTTTTGATTCTGAAGTTGCTTGTGGCACAGGGCCACGTTAGTAGCAGAACCCTTTTTTGGATCTACTCCCTTTTTATGAAGAGGAATTACAAATGACTCCTTCCAAACAAGGGGAAACTGACAAGTTTGTGGGGATAGGGTAAACAGATTGAGAAGGGGTTTACACAATGCATTAACACAGTGTTTAAGAACACACCCAGGAATCGCGTCAGGACCTGGGGAGTAAACTGGTGTAACACGTTAAAGATCCAAAAGAAGGAAGCTTTTGTTTAAAGTGGGACGAAATATTAAGTTCGACTTAGGTATGGCGTATAAATATTGCTCACTTGAATGAGACACTGTGGAGTAAGTTGTTTGAAAGAATTGGGCAAACAGATCGGCTATTGCCAGATCAGTATTAGCCGTCATACTTTTAAACGAAAGTGAAGGCGGAAAGGAACATGATCTGCGCATAGTATTATGTGGTGATAGCTGGTCACCATGTAATGATTTTCTTTGATTCAGTTTCTTATTCTTTATTTTATTAAAACATGTTCAAGATATCTGGCCTGATCTTTCCTCTTGGCCGTACAAAAATATATTGAATACTTATTCTCTCTAAACATTGGTCAAAGTCGGGACTGCGCAGCTACGCCGTCGGAGACGCCGGCAGCGGAGCAGTCCGCGCTCATATACATATAGGGCAGCCCAACAAAGGTTGCGCAAGCCGTTGAGTGAGAGAGAGTATTATGCTGACATATCATAACTCGGTCGCGCATGCCAGACATGCGGACTCAGCACTTTGGCTGCCCATTGCATTCTTGTGTGGGTCATTAGACTCCGCACTTAAAATGCTGGGAACATTTGGTTTTAGGCAAAACCTACTTTGTATTTATTTGGTATATAAAAGGGTATAGTGGGTACCCGATATGTAAGCATATTACATCTCCGTCCTTTTGAAAAACAACGTAATAAAATGTAGTTATTTTGTTAGTTTTTACGTTATTTAAAAATGTTTCAATTTAGTAGGAATAATAAAAATAAAAACTTTTGGTATTATTTATGATTTACGAAAATATAAAAATGAATTCAGTATTTATGCGATTATAAATTATATTCTATATATATATAATTTTTTTTTATTTGATATTTTGAATTGTTTTTTTTTTTTTACTTAATTGATTAGTCAAAATTCACTCGAGAATGAAATTGTTTTGTTATCCGTTTATATGTACGAAAAATGTATAGTATCTTAAAAGAAAATTTTTTTTTGTTTTTGGATCCTCTTTTTTTATGTATTGATATACTAGAGAAAACTAAAAAAAACTTTAATCTACAAAAAGTTTTAATCTATCCTTATGAACTGTCTGTTTTTTGTTTTTATTATTAGAGATTAAAACGTTTTCGTTTTCTCCTAATTCCGATACTGTGTACGGACCTGTATATTTGTACTCTAGCTTATGCCCTACTTCATTTTTTTACAGTACTTTATCTCCTACCGAAATTTCTATATTTCTAACATTTTTATCTTATAGCTCCTTATTCTTTTTCTTATATTCTTCTATCATTATCCTAGCTCTTTTATATGCTACTTCTAACTTACTTTCTTTAGCGTAATCTTCTAAATTGTAGATTACTTCTATATTATTAGTGCTTTGGTAAATTGTTAGTTTTTCCAAAGACTAATTCATATAGACAATAGTTATGGGCCATAGATGGGGTCGTGTTGAAACAATATACAAAATATTGAAGCCATATGTCCCAATCAGTTTTATCCACTGATATATACATATGACATTAAAGGTTCTATGACTTCTTTCTATTGTTCCAACTGTCTGGTGGTGGTATGCAGTTGATGTTATATTTTATGTTTTCAGATATTTGCATAAGTCTTGTATAATTGAAGTTTTGTATTCTGTTCCCATGTCCGAAATGAACGTCTTCATTGGACCGTACTTTAGAATAAAATTTTCAAATATTGCTTTTGCAACAGAATTTGCACTTTTATTAGCAATTGGAATGGCAACTAAATATTTTGTTAGATCACATATGTATAAGTGTAACCGCGTATTCGTTACCATTCTCTGATTTTGGTAGTGGACCTATTGTATCCTTGTCAAATGCGTTTATGGGAATGTCTGTTATAGTTAGAGGAGTTTTTATGTGTCTCGTCACTTTTGATTTTTGGCATGTTTGACATTTCCGTATGTACTCTGCAATGTATCGAGTCATACCTTTCCAGAAATAATGTCTTTTTACCTTGGCCAAGGTTTTTGTAATGCCAGTGTGACCTCCTTGAATGGGTTCGTTATGGAATGTAGACAGTATAGCTTCTTTTTCTTTTTCATTATATATTAGGGTCACCGGGTTGAGTAGCGCTACTCGTACTGATTTTAATATCTGATTGCCCATTATTTTGAAATTATCTATTGAAACTTGTTCAAAGATATTTTCCCGCGGTGCCACTTTGAGTTGGCTGATTTTTTGTATACCGGCTTGCATTTCAAGCCTTTGGAAGAACTGACCTAAGTCAAGAATTCCATTAGTATATAAATCGCTAACATCATATCTTGCAGTTATTTTCTTTTCATGTTTAAAGAAACACAGCATATTTTTAACGTGCAAGGTCACTATTTTTCGTACCTCGTCATTATTAATGACTTCGAATACGCAGTGGACGCTAACCTCACGTCAGAAGAGGTTTTGACAGAAGATCATTTGAACTTTGAGCTTGAATTTTTATGCGTAAAACTGTCTGTCGCTGGCAGGTTAATTTTTATTACCTGCTCTTACATACCTCCTTCGTCCGAACTTGAGGACTATTTTAGGCACCTATCAGGTATAAAGTCAATTTCGAGTTCTTTGTCCGATATGGATCAGTTAGTAGTTCTAGGTGATTTTAATATACCTGGAACTACGTGGTCCTCGGATGATAATTCCAATGCTTTACACCCCATAGGCCAAAATGAATTCATTGACGGTCTACTTGACATACCTCTGTGTCAGGTAAACCATGTTCGAAATTCTTTAGATCGCTTACTTGATTTGTGCCTCGTCTCAAATCCTGAAAGTGTTGTTCTTTCTAGAGCAACTCCACTTACGCTGCCTGAAGATCCATATCACCCTGCTTTCGAGGTGACTATCGACACTGGTATAATAGTTAAAAATAATGCTATAAAACCAGCCAAGCGAATTCATTGTTTTCGCAAGGCAAACTTTCTGAGACTTAATCATCTTATATCTGGCAATGACTGGTCCGATCTCTATTCCTGCAATAATATGGAAGACGCCATTACAATTTTTTATTCGGCAATCAAACTGTTTTTTAACTCATGTGTTCCGCTATATAACCCGTCAACATCCCATAAACCACCTTGGTTTAGCAAAGAGTTGACACACCTTAGGAATTTAAAGTCCAGACTTTATAAAAAATATAAAATTTCAGGTTGTCAGTCTGTTTTTGGAAAATACATAAGAGCTCGGTCAAACTTTACCGTGCTTAACGCTCAGTGTTACAAGAATTATTTAGTCCGTTGCAGGTCCCAGTTTTTACGGGATCCCAAACAGTTCTATAATTTTGTCAACACTAAGCGCAGATCATGTTCCTTTCCGCCTTCGCTCTCGTTTGAAAGTAGGACGGCTAACACTGATCAGGCAATAGCCGATCTGTTTGCCCAATTCTTTCAAACAACTTACTCTACAGTGTCTCATTCAAGTGAGCAATATTTATACTCAATACCTAAGTCGAACCTTATATTTCGTCCCACTTTAAACGAAAGCTCCCTACTTTTGGATCTTCAACGTGTTACTCCAGTTTACTCCCCAGGTCCTGACGGGATTCCTGGGTGTGTTCTTAAACACTGTGCAAATGCATTGTGTAAACCCCTTCTCAAGCTGTTTACCCTATCCCTACAAACTTGTCAGTTTCCCCTTGTTTGGAAAGAGTCATTTGTTATTCCCCTTCATAAAAAGGGAAGCAAGTCGGATGCTTGCAATTATAGAGGTATCTCTAAATTGTCAGCAATTCCAAAGCTTTTCAAACGTGCAGTAACCCCCCACTTGCAGCACCTTTGTAGATCAATCATATCTCCATGCTAACACCTTCGTGATAGATGGCTTTAAAAATAATTTCCAAACTGATGTCATTTACACAGACTTCAGTAAAGCATTTGACTCTGTAAATCACTTCCTAATGATTCGCAAACTTGACATGATGGGGTTTCCAGCAGATCTTTTAAGTTGGATCTTTAGCTATCTCAGTGGCCGAACGCAAAGAGTCCTTTTCAAAAATTCCTTAAGTAGTATCCTCAGAGTTACCTCTGGTGTACCACAAGGAAGCCATCTGGGACCATTACTTTTTACCTTGTTTATCAATGATCTTCCATCGATCATTGCGCATTCCCGCGTACTTATGTACGCGGACGATGTAAAACTGTGTCTGCAGTATAATGATTACTCCCGTCACTTAAACCTTCAAGCAGACCTAAACAATTTTCAAAACTGGTGTAACGAAAATTTACTGAAATTAAACAGCTCTAAATGCAAGCTGATGACGTTTTGTCGGGTCAATCCACAAAATGTCACCAATTCACTAAGTGGTGGTGCCTTGGAAAGAA